GCAGGATGCAATTAATAATAATAAAGTGAAGGAAAACAAAGTAAATCTTCATTGAGAGTTTTTAGGTTTTATTTTTTTTTTTTTATGAATAATAACATGTTTTTCCATTTAGAACGGACCATTCCTCCTCACCACAGAACACCGACAAGAGATTCAAGATGTATATAAAAAAATGAAAAAAGAAAGAATGTGGAAACTCCCAACAGGGAGATACGTTGAGGAAGAATTATTCAAATTAGGGAAAAAACTAAAATTCGAACAGTTAGTGTTTATGTACATGGTTTCTCAATCATAATTACATTATGGGAAAGGAGTTATATTAAACTGTTGTTAATTGCTAGCGCTGTTCATTCATTTATTGTGGATGTTGATGACGAGACGATTAGAAATCATTTCAATGAAGCAGAATTAGATGAAATTGACTGTACGTTGGGCCCACAAGTACCTGAGCTCTCGGATGATATAACTAACTGTTTAGACAAATTCATTGATAAGGTAACACTTTAACTGACAAGCATATGCATATTATAATTATAATAAATAATTTTTTTTTCTTGTTGCAGACAAACTTGAATGAAATTCGAGAGATAATAAAGGATTTGATGTTTGGCTCTAACTATGACCATAAAAATCACCACGATATAGATTACGTAATTTTTGCTCTTTATGCATTGTAAGTATTTTGATTTTGTGACTGAATTGCATAGCATAGCATATTGGGCATGTATTGTTATTAAGTAAATTGGTTAAATTTATCATTATAGGATAAGGGAAATACAGAATGGAAGTTTGAAAGATAACAATCTTGAAACATGGTTCAACTGCCATATATGGAATGCGTTTCTTGACCAGGCTTTTGGAGATCTAAATGCAATATCCATTGTTAGGTAATATTCTTAAAAAATGTAACTTTAACATATTTAACAATATTTTCTTCTAATTATTTAGAGGGGAAAGTACCAGCTTAGCATCAGCAACACGAAAAAATATAAAAAGACGATTAGGAGAACGCCGGAGAATGGGTTGCAGGACTGATTGGATCTTGAGATCTATTAATAATGGTGATAGAGATGAATTCGGGGCTGGGGAAGTTGGAAAAAGTTGGGAAGATGAGAACGGAACAAAGTTTCTCAAGGAGGCAGGACTAAAACTACCAAAAACACTTAAAGATATGTTGGTGAAATTAATGAAAAAAGCAGATTTTGATGAAGAGAAATGCGCAAAAATTCAAACGGTTGGAATAATACATGCGGGTATGTTCTTGTGTCTAAAAATCTATTAGGTTCTTACTGTTAACTAATATAATTTATAGGTTTGAAGATTATGCCGGTCTTTTTAGACAATCCAAAAGGATACATCTGCAGGTTTCAACGTGGTGAACTGATGGAAGTTCCAGATAACGAAGAAAATTTTCCTTCTATCCTTGTGATTCTTGCATCTGTTTTGAATATAAAGGTTGGTTAAATTTGTACTTTTCACGTAACGATTTATACCTATACCAATAGACTGTTGTATTTATGAATACTAGGCTGTGGTTCGAGAGACAATAAATGTGATTCAAGCAAAAAAACAAACTCCTGAATTATTTAAAAAAGCCGGTTTTCGAAAAAGACCTCGCGACAAAAATGAGCATCAAATATCATTTTGTTTAACAACTCCGAAAAAGGCTAAAATATGTGAAGTACATTCTGAGGATTCCGAGGAATCACACCTATCAACCCCATGTCCCGGATCGCCATAGATTTGAAATGTATGCATGCAACATAATATTCCAAAAACAATAAAAAAATAGATTTAATATTAGCTTCGAAATTTTTTATCCTGAATACAATTGTGTTTTTAATTAAGAAATTGGATCTTATTTGCAAGTCACGGTTAAGTGATCCACAATATTTATTATCCAATGCTATTTGTGTAATTCCGATCATGATAAACGAACTTTTGAATATATCTACATCTTGTATAAAACAATAGCAAATACAATCTAAGATCGATTTATTAGAAACAGAATTTCAAGTTCTTAGCCGGTGGAATTAGAACAGTCCGCTAAAGAAAGTACAGAGAACACTAAATTAAGAGATGCTGAAATCAACGAGCTTAGATCCAGAGTTTCGAAATTAGAACAGAAGAATTCGCAAAATGACTCTGCATCTATTACATCTAAGGAAACGAGCATATCTAAATCATATGGAGATTCCAATCAATCTTCAGTTAATGTCATCTCTACTGAAACAAAAAATTCTAACGATGTCTCCAGAGGTAATCTCACAAAGTAAGGATGCTCCTGCATTAGATATAACTGACAATACTTCAAATTCTGACTCACAGAATAAGGATGCTATTGCATCTGAACCCAATAACCGGAGGCTAGCTCATACTAATGCTCCAAATCCTGATATATCTAGTAACACTTCAAATTTTGATGTACAGTAAATCAGGATATGAAAACTCAATGCACCACATCATCGATTCGCACAGAGACCAAATCATCAGAGGATAAGGAGATCGATGAATTCTTAAATTCAAAGTGTAAGGAACAGGTTAGTAAAGAGATAATTCAGAGCATTAGTGAGAAGAAGCTTCAATATGAATCAACTAAAGACCGAGTCCAGAACTTAATTTCGGATATTTCTATCTCTTCCGAGCAAAATCATGTAAGTAGAAAAGAAAAATGCCAAGAAATTTCCGTCACGAAATGTGACGATCGGCAAAAAAACTTTTCGAATTCTAATATAGAAACCAAAGAACATTTATCACAGGAAAGACCAAGGAGTGAGTGTCCAGATCATAACATTTATAAGTCTGAAATCAGAACACAATTATATAAGGAATGTTAAGCCACTTACCTGGTATTACATCAAGAAACTTGCGTATGAATTCATGTTATTTGGGAAAGATGGAGGTTACCAAGAATATAACCTCATAGAAGTGCCAAAAACAGTCACGAATCGTGACGATCAGATTAATGCACGAAATGCACTCTCTCTCAAAGGCAATACATTGCCAGAAAATAAGATTTAATCTATAAATCACGCAAGTGTATCATCTAATCCAGCTCATGATCGTAATTATTTTCGTAATAAAATATTAGATCAATATCCTGATATAAAGTATATAGAGTTTAGTAGCAAAAATTCGATTATTATAGAATTATTGATGTCCAGCATGCAAGTCGAGTCATAGGGATAAGAAGAGTATAAGAGATTACAACATAAGTAAATAACTACATAAATCTGGACAAGTAGATAGTGATACTTTTTTCTTGATATCTGCATGATTTTGAATTGACTTGTATTAATATAAAACGATAACATGTCTTCTGATATTATCTCCAGAAAGATATTAACTGCAAATGGCATGCTGATTTAGTTGATTTATCAAGTTCTCAGATAAAATTTGTTCTAGATTATATAAGCATATATGAAAGAGATTGGGCTTGATCCTTGGATAAAGTCTGAAACTTCTGAATTCTCACAAATTGAAAATACTGATAATCATTTTTCATAAAACAATATCATTAATATTTCTAAACTTCTGAAAGAAAAAGATGTAATTATTGAACCAATACAAAAATGATTCCTTTTCTTGAAATATATTAAATCAAATATATAGTACCAAGATATTTTTAAATATACTGATTCAGCCCAGTATATAAAAAAATACATACTTATTTAGAAATATAGATAATTAAAGTTATTTAAATAAAAATAATTAATATTTTCTTAACTATCCTTTTTAAACCAATCCGATCTGAAAACTGATCGGTTTTAATTTTTTGTAAACTGATTTGATCTGAAACTGACCAATTTATATAAATAAAATTTTATTAAATTGTTTTATTTCAATAAATATAGCTAAAAACTGTTTAATTTAATTTTTTTAAATTTATATTTACA